AGTGTTATCTGGGCCTGATCCAAAGCCCATAATGTCAATGGGCATCTTTCCACCAACTATAAATGGGCAGAGGATCAGGTCCTGAGAGCTCACGGTTCAGTAAGATAATCTTGCAACGTAGTACATGGCAAAAAACAATGGACTTCAGAAAATACTACTTTGTTCTATTTATTAGTAATGATATTTTAACGAAAGGGACAACTTAAAGTCATATGCTGTAAACAAATGTTATCTTTAGCTATATTACTAACACAAAATTATTCTATTCAATGTAGGTTCTTACACTGCCATGATCACTGTAGCATCTGAGGACTGTCCAGCAGCACATTAGGTGACACGACTAACACGTGTCTATCATGTGTGGAACGTTCTCTCCTATCCTCTCCCCAGAGGGAGACTTGTGTGTGAAGTGAAGTGTTTTGGACCGGGGCTTGTTTTTAAATGTCCATGCTGCTCAGTGTTTATGTTAGAGAAAACAGGTTGAAGAAGTGCGCCTTGTGGTTGGCATAAAAAGTGAGGGTTTGTGATGGTCCTTAGCTCCTAGACGAGTTCGTTCCAGTCTGAGAACAACCCCCAAGGAAGTTCTGCGTTCTACACAGACAAGCTTTACCTTTATGGTAGAAAGTTCCATTGTGTCTGAGGAGCTGAGTTTTCTTATAATGTTTTCACATGTCGTTTGTTACTATTTGTGGTTGCTTTGCTGAGATGCAAAAAAATAATTAAAAATTAATCCATGAAATCAGGTTCAATTTCAGATTCTTACTGCTGCAACAGATTTCAAAAACAGCAAGATGATATTTATTTGCTTTAAAACAACTCTTAATTCTGTTAGTTCTGAGTTTCATAAAAGCTCATTATAAATGTGTGACTATTGTTGACAGTGTCCATTTAACAAAGGGTCTCTTTCCTTAATGTATATTACAGAGAGAAAGAAGTCGCTTAATTCTTCTAACCCATCTTACTGCCAATACAGGATTGTGCCCGTACTTATATTTGGTAGGGCTTAATACAGTCTAGTTTTAAATGCCTCAAGTAATGGGGCTGCCATTACTCTGTTTGGGGAGACTATTTCATGATCTAATAGGTTTTCCCTCTATCTACCTAAAATGTGATATGCTCTAAAAAATGCTTTGAAAATAGTTAAAAAAATTAAAATTCAAAAGTAGACTGACTTTTCTATAGAAAGTCCTAAGTTTCATTTATTTTAGGGAGGCCTTATTATGTTTTGGAATATTTTTGTTTATTAATGGTTATTGCCCCTGTAGTGATTAGAGGTGCTTTAAGTTACAAAAACATGAAAGATACAAATGACATACTCTACCCTAAAACTGCTTGCCAGTCACCAGTACGCCTTAGAAGACCAAATGTTAAAAATATACCAAACAACGAAAACCAGAAAAATACCCAAATTAATAAGATGCAAAACAAAACAATCCAATACTAAGCAAAATGAATGCTCCTTATATCGGGGCCTGAAGCTTGCCCAACTTGGGCTCTGGCAGACCACCAAGAAGAGAAAATTACAAAGGCAGAGATGCTTGACATGAAAGCGCTGCTGTCAAACCTGGATAGTTTTACCAGAGCATCCCAGCCGATCTCAATTATTGCAATGGAGAATTGAGAGAGTCATCTCATATCTGAGTCCTAGACCGCTCGGGCAATAAAAATTTCTAACAAATAGGAAGTCAGCATACTCCTGAAATCTCTGCACTATGTACTCTGCTATGTCCTGGCCCCATTCATGTGGTGGGAAGTTGCTTTCTGCGCCAGCTGAAGGCTCCAGGTGGTCTTGAAGGGGATCTTGAAGTAGACCACATTACAGTATCTGAAAATCAAAGGTGATTGGGGGTGGGAGAGCGCGGCATATAGCTCTGAAAAATGTATTCAGTAGCCAGATGTTGACTGACCTACAATGCAAACCCACACTTGCCAGTCATTTTAATTATACAGAATCATACCCACAACAGGTGTTCTGGTTAGCAAAACATTTATGAAAATAAACAAGAGTGGACAAGTTTGCTCTGATTGATTTTTGTTTGTTTGTTTCTTTAATATAGATTAGTCCTTATTGTTTAATAAAATACTGTTTTAGTCACTTTGAAATAATAATTACAAGAGTTTTTATAAATGCATGGAAACACTGTCTAGGTAACTACATCTATCTTTCACTGAAATCCTATTTTGTAAATTTTTAAAACAAAACCTGAAAACAACAGCAAACAAGAGTTTTCCTTTTTACTCAGTGACAGAAACATGCTCCTGGTATAATATTCAGTGTTAGTTCACCTCCTTCAATGATGATATCAAAAGGTCCCGCACACACAAGTAAAGAAACCTGAAAATGCATTACTAGCACTGTAAAAAAGGAAGTGAGGATTGTATGCATCGGACTGCAAGCACTGTACTTCAATGAAGAGTCATTCAAACTGGCTTCTCAAATTAGCAGCTGCTGGGCAGTCAAAGATGCAACCAGGGGATCAGCGTTCATTGTTGTACCATTATTACCTGGTCATTCACATAGCTGTTTTAGTAGCAGTTCAGGGACTGGCTAATTATCTATCCACAATTCATAGGTAATACCTGAAGAGAAAGTTAAGGGCGTAAGAATACCCTAACATTTGCTCTGAATTGCATTCCAAAGTCGCCTTTCCAATATGAAGATCACTCTCAGAATTGGCAAAGCAAATGAGAAGAAATCTCAAAACTTGAAAACCTCAACATGAAATAAAGTAAGTTGGAAAGGGGAAATAGTTCAGTATAATATTTCAAAAGGTTTCAGAATATTAGTATATCATCCAGGCCTCTTTGCTTTATCCATAAGTGTTATCAAATTTGTAAAAAACCAACAACTATAAGTTTCTTAAAACAGATGGGAATTATACACTGAATTGATTTCAATAGTCCTGTAAGACATACCTATCATGCAAACTGGAAGACAATTGCAATCAACATTCTCTTTAGTACTTTTTCAACATAACGGTAACTCCAGTGTTCCAGCTAACTCACAATTGAAGGGCTTTGTTTCTATGGAAGTAGGAAGGGATTCCTCCTGTATACCTACACTTAATTATTCCATGAAGTGTATAAGAAAATACTTGTTTAAAAAGATCAAGTCCTTAACTCCCAACAGATGTTGGCAAGCCCAATTCTACAATATACATAACAAAACAAACGATAACGCCTAACGCCTTTTAACACCAGTACACAAAGAAATGTTTTCTTGAATTACTGGAAGCATAATTAGAAAGAAGTACCATTCCTTTTAAACTTACTGAAAATAAATGCTCTATGCTTCAAGGTAAGCCAAAAAGGAGTTAGTTTACTGTGCAAAATAACAGGCCCCAAAGCATGCTACATTATAGTTATTAAAACTCATCATTTTGACTGTTCAAAAAAATTAAATAGAGAAGCTCAAAGATTTTCTCGCAAAGACACTATATTCATATCTGTTTTTAAAAGAAAGGTAAAAGCGAAAGTCTTATCTTTACAAGCCCCCAATCTTTTCTGCAGGTTATCAACACTAGATAATACTGCTAAGAAATATTTAGAGCCAAGGCAGATGAACAGAATTCAACCTCCATAATCAGCTTAATGTTTACTATAGATAAGTATACACAGTGGAGTATCTTATACTCTCCCCCAAATCACATGAAGGATCTATTCAAGTACAGCAAAAGGAGAAAACATAGAAACAAACGAGTCGCCCTAAACCAAGTCCTGGCTTCCATGTCAGAAAGGCATTTGGGGGAAGAGGAAGGAATGTGCAGTCTAAGAACTAATGTTAAGACCAACTGGGAATGTCTGTGCAGCCATGTAGTCCCAATGAGCAGTCTCTCCATGTGGATCAGAGAAATATATAGTCACAAGCCCCAGACCAAGAAATTGATTGCTCTTCCTTCCAACCACAAAACTTTCAGTGAAAATCCTTTCCAAAGGCATTGACTCTTATAAAGAAAGAGAAGCCTAACACTGAAACAATATACACCCAGGACCCTCCCCCAACCCAGCTGCCTTTGTTTGGTGTTTCCAGTTGATTCAGATGCAGTTTCATATAAACATCCACTTTACCCTCCCCAAACTCCTCACTTTTGAAGCTTTAATCCCCTCTCGCTCTCAATGACAATGAGACAAGTTAAATGAATAAAAATTAACACCAAGCAAAAACTTTAAGCGATTTTTCAGAGGGGCTGGGGATGGAACCGACAAGGAAAAGGACAACTGAGATAGCCGCCCCCTCCCCTTTGTATTTAGAGGAAACTAACAATGAAAATGGCCATATAACCCAAGGGAGCCACCCCACCATCGGGGCTGGGATCATCCATCCGGAAATGAGTGGGAGGCAATTTCACCAGTAAGGGGATAAGATGACTTGGGAGAGTGGGATGGACAAGCAAGAAGTCCCCAGGCCCCACCCTCCAATAAACACTCTGCCCATCATAGTGGCAGTATCTAACCACAGGGGAAAGTCACCGCTGCCCGTCCCCCAAATCTGTGAAGGGGAAGAAAGCAGAAGCCCCTCATGTCCTCTCCCACAGAGCCTATGCTAGGTAGGAGCAGCCCCCACTAAATAGTGCCCCCCTCCCGACCACAGCCTATGCCCAGTGCAATGTGGAGCAGCCACCCAGATCCCCTCCACCCCAGAAGAGAGGTACCCCATACCGCCTCCCTCCCACTCCCCACCCTCGGTCACCCCAGCCCGGGCGCTGGGGAGAGGGGGGGCAGCAAGGAAGCGACAACCCCTACCCCCCTCCACAGCGCTGAGAAGCGGGGAAGGAAGCACCTCCCCCAAGCCCATGAAGCCGAAAGCAGCCCCCGGCCCCAGTCCATGGAGCGAGCAGGCCCCTTCCCCCAGAGGGAGCGGCGCCCCCAGTCCACGGAGCGGGCATCGCCCTCGCCCCATCCCTCCCCGCGGGAGGCAGCGCCCCGCGCCCTCCCACCCGAGACACCTCAGCCCACGTAGGCCCCCGCCCCCAGGCAGCCCCCTCCCTCCGTCCCGTTACCTGCTCGTCGAAGCGGGTCACCACGGCCTGCACCCACTCCACCGGCTTGTGGGCCGCCATGTCCCGCCGCCTGCCCGGCCGGGAAGGGGGGCGGCTCCCCGAGGGGAGGGAGGAAGGGGGCGGGGAGGGTCTCGGTGTCCCTGGCTAGGTCTCGGGTTCTCAGCTCCCCGCAGCCATCAGAGCTCCGAGGCCGCCATGACACCACACCGGAAGCAGGAGCCCAGTCCGCCCCCACCCCCAGCGGAACGTACGGCCGGGAAAGGGGGGGGGGGGCGTTTGGAAAGCGCATGAGCAGGGTCAGCAGGGCCCGCACGCATGCGCTACGGGAGCGGGAGCCAACCGTCAGCGCGCATGCGAGAAAGAGGAAGTCGCGCGTGCGCAGTGGACCGGGAAGCGGGGGCATGCGTGGGATAAAAGAAAGGCCAGTGCGTCTAAATGGGGCTGAGGGAGAAATAAATTAGGATTGTGTCCCCCCCCCCCGCCCTGAGCCTGCGGGGGGCTCTGATCCCCTCCCCCCAGCCCTGCCACTGAGCCTGGGGCTCTGATCCCCTCCCCCCCCCCCC